TTTATTAATTTGTTCATAATGAGTTTATTGCAAGTTGACACTCCTGTAACTGTGTGCCGTGGAACTTAAAACACCTATGTTTTCTAACACAAGCGTACAACTTAGAGATGTTGGCCCTAAGTTTGATTATGTTCTGATGTTAAAAAAAATAAATGAAATATGAAGAACATATTAAATCAACAATATCACATAATTTTTTTTTAAATTTAATATTTAAAAAAATTAGATTCATTTAAACAATTGACATTTTAATATTTGTTATTTGCTTAACATCTTTCTTCTTAAAGATGTAGGATAAAATGAATCTTTTTACAACATGCCGCCCAGACGAGACGAACAACATGCCATGCCGCCCAGACGAGAAAGTGGTTAATGACTCTGACTACCGTAGTGAAGAGCCCGGATTCGAATCTCAGAGACATCATGGATGTAAATTGTCTGTCCCTTCATAGGAGGCAACGGTGGATGACCTATTAGGTGCCTCCATAATAAAGTGATCGCTGTTTCCGACCTTAGTAGTGGCCAACGCCTGTAATATCTAGTGCCTGAGATCGGGTGGAAAAAATATTTGAGCAACATAGTAATAGCAGTGAATTAATATTTGCCGCATAGAAATGTTGAAATTTTTAAGCAGTAAATCGTGAAAAACTTACTTAAAATTCTGAAATGAACATTTTGTTTGAAATTTTGTATGTTTCAAAGTTCAAGAAAATTTAGTTTAAACGCTGAGGGCTCTGAGATTTGGTATCACGCAGATAATAATTATTTATACGTTAGGCAATATTTAGTCACAAAAGGTCTATATAGAGAAGTTTTTGAAGAGATATAAAAAAAATTCTGAAAGTTCTTTTACGCATTTATATTTTTCAAATCAGATTACTTTCTAAAAAATATTCTTCACCTGTTCCCATTCTTTGAGCTTAACATCGATAAGCACTGGGAACTTAATACAGTGTTCTTGAACTTAATACGGTGAAAGGAGCTAGTTGCCTGAGAGTTTTTGTAGTTTTCCCCTTGTGTACCATAAGTACTTGCTGATTTCCTTTACAAAATCTTTTACGAAAGTATTCCTTTCCTTAGTCAAAACGCCTTCGTGTACTCAATTTTGTCAGTTTACCTAACTTAATTCAACCAATCCTTTGAGTACTTACGATTTACACACGAGATTTTAAGCCACGATTAGTAAGTAGTGTTTTCCAAAAAGGTAATATGAAAATAAAAATTGGGGTTTCTTTATTTTTTTAATATATTTCAACTTATTTTTATGCTTAAAAATAATTATCATCATTAATGTGCGAATATTTTTATTCGTCATTCATTAATTTAATAACCTCTTAAATTACATTCATATGCTTTTAAGAACCTTTTATTTTTCTCAAGCGAAATATAGTGAAAGTCTTGATGATTCAAATTTACTATTACTCAAAATTATTTCTAGTTTTTTTTTTATTCCATTTATTATTATGATTTTATTTTCTTACGGGTTCGGCAGATAGGTATGTAAATGCATTCATGGTGTCTTACATTCGAACTTCCTTTCAATGGCCTAAATTAATGAAAAGTTAAAGTATTACAAAATAGTAGAAAACTAATTAATTAATGAAGTCCTTTAACTGTTCAATCATTAAAGATGCATTCTGAGAGAACGTATAATGATTTTTGAATGAAACAATAAAAGCTTTTTCATGAGATCGATCGAACATGTAAAATTAGGTGAAAACTGGATCAGTTATATTTACTATAAAATCTTTTCAGCTCCGCAAAAGAGCCGATTATGTATCATGTATCAAATTACAGATAGATTTACATTGCCAATATGAGAAAATAATAAATACTTCGATGAGAGAGAAATAAATCAGTGATTTTTGATTTCACGGCTATGTTAATTTTCACAGTTGCCGATTATATGTAGTATATTTTACGCATGAAAGAGCTAGGAGAATTTAAATATACTCAAATGAAATTCAGTAATAAATCACAAGATAATGAAAATATGCCTCTGGCATTTTCTTGTCACATTATTCATCTTTAATGTGAGTAATTCAAATTCGATTCTTGCTATAGGATAAATATTAAAGTCTCTGAACGTTCCGGTTGCAAGCGAATATCAGAATATTCCTCAATCTTCACTGAGTTCTCTGAAGATGAAATCTGCTTGAAATTAAGCTAAGCAAAACGTAACTTTAATTATAAATGTTGTTTGATTAAAGCTGTAGAGCGAAAAATAACGAATTCTATTTGCAAAGATGTTGGTCAGTGTTTTATACTGCACAAATATCTTCTGACATAGCCTCAAAAGTCTAAACATCTACATAAAAAACAGGAAATTCAGCTGAAAAATTACTTGTTTTGATGAATTATCTGTGTTTGGAAAATTAAATCTAAGACGTTTTAAGTATTTTTGGAATGAAATTCATATTTGAAGTGTAAATTCTAAATGCGCTTATTGATGAATCGGGAAGTAAGCTTGATGATGAATGAATCGGGACGTAAAGAGTTATCGAATAAGCTTGATAACTCTTTACGTCCTTGTACGCACGAGTGTGCTCTCGTGGTGTAAGTAGTTTAGCTTTAAAATTCCCTTATAATCCTAGAAAAGGATGCATGCGCGTTCCATTTTAACAAGACCGCTGGCTTCAGTAGTTATCCGGTTACAAGTTTCTTGCTGAAAACTTTTCAAATAATCACAAATGTATATCTTCTCCTCTCTACACACCACAAGCGTTTTCGGCAGCCGAAACTGGTTAATCACATAATTTCCTTCCTGCTTTAAGCAGCACTTATGAGCTTAACTTTCCATTCGTAACTCTAAGGCCATATAATGCATGCGTTAAACATGGCCGTAAGGTTAGGGAGTTCAGCAATAATAATAAGGGAAGGCTAGTCGATAAATAGATATATTGTGACAAATGAAGTCTAAAATTTATTAGATTATTTAATTCAAAATATTTCTGAAAAATATTAAAAAAATGTTTTTAATGAAGACTGATCATTGGAACTCTTAACTGGAAAATTTTGATGCGTTTGAATATTTTGAGGAAATACCATAAATTACTAATAATTTATTGAGTCAATCAAAAGAATTTGTATAATAGAAAAATTAACTTGAAAATGATATTCAAGAAATATGTATACATATGCGTTTAAAACTATGAACGATGCATTATGTATATAAACAATGTAATATTTAAATGGAAATTACTATTATCTATCTATTTTTCGTACAATATAGTTTGCCGTTTTTAGCCCATTTGAGTTGTCGGCATTTCTCTCAAATGATCAGTGTAAATTAATGCGTCTATCACTATACTAATCATTTATAAATTAATGTTTCTATCACTTGATGGTGTTTCAAAATCGAGAGAGTATGTTAATTTAAGTACAGAGATTGTCAAGAATACTAAACAAATACTTTGCATTAACGGAATGAAATAGTCTAAATCCATCAAGTTTTTTTATTAAAACGAAAACTAAACGAAGTGAAATTTTAATCTGCTGTTCAATTCTTTCAACTTCTCAGGACAAATAACAAAAACATAGATCACACTTTAAACAGGGGTAGCGAGAAGACAGCTCCCAGTTTTTCGAGCAGAAAGGTTAACTCGGCAGAAGGGAGAATCCGTTTTCGAGTTACTGTTGAAAGCTAGACAAACTGGTGTTCGTGAAACAGAAGATCCTCAGTTGTATCAAACTCGCAGCCCCAAAGCAATTTTATGCTGCTTGCGATTACATTTTAATTATATATTTGTTGCAAATACGGTGCTTATAGTTTTACAGACATGAAAATATAAAGAGCTTATGTGCATGACTGCTATTGAAGGGTACACTAAAATGATGGATAAAATGAATGGATCGGAACGTTGCAACTGGTTGCTTGTATGCCATGCCGCGTGACTAGTGTGTTGTGGAAGAAATTTCCCACATTGATACAGTTAATTTGATTTGCCACTCGAGAACTCGTGCAACTTCAGCACTCGGAAATTTCTGTTTTTCCGGTTAAGGTTAAAAGTAAGTTAGTGGTTGATTCAACATATCGGAATTACCTGAAATGTCTGTCTAAAATTCAATATCTGGCTGCCAATGCGCTTGAACTGCAGAGTATAAACAGTAAACACTTCTTGCAGGTACCAACTTTTAGACTTCACATAGAAAATAAATATATATTTGAATTTTCCTCCTGCGTTGTTATTATTATTGTTTACGTATGTTTTAACAAATATTATGCAAGTGAAAATTAAATTGTTATTTATTTATTTAGTTTTTGTTTTGTTAAAAAAATTTAAATTTTGTTGAAAAACATTTTCTGACCCGTGAGCTGCTTTTAGACGGACCATGCGGTTCCCCCGGCCGCATGGGTCTGAGTCTCAGTCTGAGTTTGAGATTGAGAACACGCTGCCTTAAGGTCAGGAACAAGTTAATGAGCCCCCAAAGATCCAGGCCATGACGGCAAGGCGTGTCCTACCATATTTTGAAGTAAATAATATGAAGCATAAATATTGCCATGTAATGGTCAAATCAAGAAGAAATATAAAGATCACATTTCTAAAGAAAATTATATAAAAAAAATTGAATACTGGTTTTAACTCCAGTAATGATAAACGGCAGAGACAGTGAACATTGATACTTAGTTCTGAATTCTGATCCCAACTATAGAAAGAGTTGGCAATATAGGTTTTTGGAGCTTTCTTCATGTATATTTTATATGTGGACAATTTCCTTCAGAATATCCTGCATAAATGCAGATAGCCCTTGGGTGCTTTGCTATATTATCCACCCTAGTTGAACCGACTTTGATAATTCATTGGATAGCGTGCCGTCGAAGAAAAGCGAGTTTCGAGCTAATAATTCAGTAAAACTTATATTTTCACGAATTAGAAAAAACAAATGCTATTTTCTTTTTATTCTTTAGCATTTTCGTGTATATAAGTTCCTTGTTTTTAATTACTGATGATTTTAGCATATAAATGCGTTCTGTTTCTGAATTTCTGTTTCTATTTCAGTTCAGATGACGGAACGAAGGACAAAGATGATCACTTCCTGGAGTTTTCTTCTCGTAGTTCTTCTAACTTCGCAGGTCAGTTACAAATACTTTCTTTTTATTGTTGTTTAAATGTATGAAAAAATATTGTTTAAAAGATTAGAATTTTGGCACTCTATTCCAAGCTGTTCAATGGTAAATATTTGCTTACAGTTAAAAATATTTCTTCTATTATACTATAATTCTGCTATTTATTTTACTACTTTTACACAGTGTGCCTCCTTAATTTTGCTTTACATATCCCTTTAAGTGTTAATAAGTTGTCTCCCTGAAATATTTAGCAACTTCACGCGCAGACAGATTTAATAATATTTTACTTAATCATTCCTGAGAGATACAACTGAAGCAAAAATGTGCAACTCAAAACACGATCGATAATCTCTCCGTGATATTTAAACAAAACTGAGGCTGCTTGTCTTTTTTGACGATTACAATTTTCAAGGAAATTTTCTCTCATATACTGTACCTGGTTGTTTCTTACCAATTAAGCATTAAAAGTCACTTACGAAATCACACAGGCAACAGACATCTACTGTCTTCGACAAATACAACTAGCAAGTATGGCTTCCAATAGCATTAGTTTCAAAAAATCTAATTAAAATTTCAACCTCCTTTCACTTACTCTTAATTTGCATAACTTTCTGTATGAATATATATGACGTAAAGCGAGAAGAAGGTAGGATAGTGTTTAACGTAAGCTTAACTATTAGTAAAATTTGTAAAAAATGTTGTAATGTGTCTTTCTTTTCTCCCCCCTTTTTTTTTGTATTTATTTCAGATCTGCAGTGGCCATTCTTTTTGTAAAAAAATAAAATGTTAGATCTCTTTTTTTATTAATTTCCTATCATAATTTTATTTAAAGAGTTTTTTTAGCTTAATGCTTGCATTAATAAAGAGACTATAAATTATCAAACTTTTCAAAATCAAAATGCTTGAGTAAATACAAGTGTGAATTCCATATATTTTTACAAAACGTTTCTTTTTGCTCTTTTTCTGAGAATAAAGTTGAATTTTTAAAACTGCTTCAATACAACTATTCATAATAAACTGTTTAGACTATTAAAATTACGCTATGAATCTTGACTATAAAACGACCTTAAATCTAAGTATACCTCCAAAATCGATTAGTGATTTACAACGTTTCCTAAGTACAGAAATTCAGAATAAAAGTTTTCAAAACTTCAAAATTATTTAGCACAGTTGCAACAAGTTTCTGTAGTTATAACTTTTTTTATATACGAAAAATATAAAATATATCATGATTACAAATACTGAAGCCATTTCGATTGTAATATTCTGTCCAGTTTTATTAGTTTATACTTCATTAATGAGTATTAGCTTGCAACTTTTCTAATGTGTAATGTTTGAGATTCTTATCAAATACAGCACGTTCAGGAGAAAAAGAACATATGTCAAATTAGATATTGTATTTTTTTATCGGATTGTATCTTTCAATTCCTTATATTTCAAGATTATTCTATTGCAATTTTAAGGGAGCAGGTACTTTAAAATTTTAAAAATATGCCAAAAATAAAACGCAATTTAAAGTTCAGTATTTTTATTAACTAACTGATTTATGATAGCGAAATTATTTCCAGATCTGTTTTCTGGCTGTTAATCAAATGGCTCCGAAACTGAATGAAAAGTCTCGTTTTGAAATAACTTTGATAAATTCAACTACTTCCAGTTTATACAAATTAAACTGTAAGCGTATAATAATAAAATATCCACACATAAGCATCTCAATAAAAATACGATTACATAGTTAATTTAAAAATAAGTATTAAAACAGTTACAAGCCAACTACATTCTAGCGACCGAATTCTGTGGACAAGAATTCCAATGCGTGTTGCCAACGCAGGGCAAAGAGTAGATGTGAATTAATTACAGGAGGCGTGAAAGCAAACAAGATCCTTGATTCTATATTTAATTTTTTTAACCTTTATATCCCAAGTATTAAAACATTTTAATTTTATTTTAATAAGTATCTTGCGCAGCATTATGAATATACAAATCACTATTTTCAGTTAATTTGTTTATTCAGATCGGAAAACAATATGTACTTAAAATGAGCTGTGTTAGAAATAATATAATTCTATTCCCAATAAAAGGAACGGCCATTTCTAACATTTTTACTCGAGAAGCATAATATTTGGTAATTTTATACCCATATGGATTTATCAAATTTCGTTGATCAAAATTTCTTTAAATTTCGACTAGCGAATTAACAGAAACTTGTGCGTAAGCAGGAAAATTATAATTTAAAAAATCATAACTGAATACACAATTGCTTTCAGTTCATTAAGATGATTTTTTTAATTTGCAAGTATGCATAATTATATATTTAAATATAACTGTATGCATAATAATCTTTATTTGAGTTAGTGAAAAGTGAGAAGTCGAAATTTTCATGTGGTTTCAAATTTAGCTAGAGTTCCAAAAGTCCTCATGTTAGAAGCAAAATAATTTATATCTTTTTACAGATTAAGTCTTTTCGAAATTTCTCAAAATTTCTTGAGATTCTGTCAGCTGGTTCAGACAAATCATGTGTGCTAACAGTAAAATCTTATTTTTATGAGATTTTAATCGAACAAGGAAATTCCCTTGGAATTTTGTAATGAAGTCAATTTCTTAAAATTATTAATAATTATATAACTAAACCTGTTTGTAAGGTATTTTTTCTAGCTACTGTATAATTATAAAAATTATATACCTATCATTATATGTATACTTCAGAGGATAAAATACAGGCATATAAACTTTTACATGCTTCTTTAGAAAATTAAATGAAAAAAAAAATGTAATAATATATATAAATTAGGGAATATTTTAATATAAATATATGATCATGACTTCCTTGCACGGCCAAGTAAATTATACAGATTTTTTGCTGCACTTCATTTAAATCCATTTCCTCGAATTTCATTAGATATATTTCTCATGCAATCATTTCTGTTCTCACTTCGCGGCAAGGCAAAAATACATAAAAACTCAAAACATCTTCATTAAAAATTCCAAATTACAGCAAATCCTAAAACATAAAATGCAGTTCAAAACAAAAAATTTACAACTAAAATTAGAGTTTCTACGCGAAACCAAGCAATTTGGCTAGTGGGGAGAAAACCAATTTTCTTGAAGGCTAACTTTGGGTTCCACTGGTTAAAAACACACTGAAGTTGGTGCACCAACTGACTTTTTTACTAAGAACTTCGAATGTAAACAAATGGTGGCCTCGTTAGGTTTAACGACACTTAAAAAACTTTTAAATTGTTGATAATTCTACAACTATTGCGTGGAGATTAACTAAAGGTATAAAAACCTTAACCGGACATAAGAACAACATAATTCAGTCACTTTTAAAGCAAGAAATGCACAATTTATCAACATGTAAGAATTAAAAAAAAAAAAAAAAAAAAACTGAGCTCACTAAGCCGGATAACGGAGTGATATATCTATATATAAATGAACTTAAAGCTTCAAAATAGGGAGGGGCACTACTAGATATTATAGCTGTCCTATACATACATAATTTTAACGTTCCATGGCTACTCGTTTTTGAGTTATGCGAACGTACATGTTCGTACATGCATACGTACTTCGTACAGACATCACGAGAAAAAATATCTTTTGAATCCATTTTAATTCTATTTTATAATCCTTTTTTTTTGTTCTATTTTTGCGATCACAATATTTCCTTTAAAACATTATCCTTATAAAGAAACAAGATATTTCATATTTTAAAGAACTGTGTGCTTTTCTTTCTCAAGCCATATTTTTCTTTAATAAAGTGGCCGTATTTACCGTAAACACCCAATGAAGTTCTTTTTTGGATCTTTGAAAACCATTCACGAAACTGCGTAAGCATTATTTTAGATGTTTCTAGCAGACGATAGAATTCTTACGACTAAAACAATAAAACTAAGTAAATCCAAATTTACTTCCTTACAACCACGTATGAAATAATCTTAAAGACGATCAGAAGCTCTATGTTTGCGAATCTTTCTGAATCCTAATATCTGCCATAGAATGCTATCACGGTCGCAGTTATGCAACCGTAAGAAGGGAGGCTCACCCAAATCATAGTTTTCCAGGTTTCTCTAATGATCGTGAAATTAAATAGGGTTCGTCATTCCACTCTAAATGTTTTTCAAGGCAGGCATAATCACGACTTTACCTGTATGGGGTCGGTCATCTGTTATTCTACTTCTCCCTTCAGCAACTAGTTGCCTCGTTATCTTTGCTCACAGATATTCTCCTCTCCGAGTAGAAAATTTACCCGGCATGCCTTCCGCTTTTATTATTATTGTTATTGTTGTTATTTGCATTCTTTATTAAACCTTCTTTAATTTGCAAAAAACAGAGCACTTATAATAACGTGTTATATCCGGTTTTGGTAATAGTTATTGAAGCTTATTAGGTTTATTTTCTAGTTGAAAACAGAAGTACTTAGCATTCCACTGCAGGCTTTGAAATAAATCAAAATAAATTTGGAGACTGGAATAAAAATTTATTTTTGTTGTTAGGTGCTACGCGTTTGTGTGCATTAATTTAAAGTGATTATGTAGATTAATTTTATGCTTTGGAGGGGTAGAATGGAGAATATTTTTTGCTTTGACTATCTTTAAAAATGTATTTTATTACTTTGAAAAAAAGTAAAAAAAGAAAAAAGAAAATTTGAAAGGGCTCACATTTTAACGGTCGCCCATACAAGTTTGTTAAGGTTTTTTTACTCTCTCGATGAACTCACAGTCTACCAGTCTGCTGCTGCTAACCCATTTTGTTTTGTCTTTTTAGCTACTAAGCATCATATTCTTCGCACCATGTACAATTCAATAGCAAAATTGCAAAAATTTTAAAAGCAGCATGTATTTAGAATTACCGTGTGGCATGCATTTAAGTGTTTGCATACGTTTTCTATTTTTTCAGTCCTTTTTCTTTGTCATATCAGTGTCCAGTTTTTTTACTAAGATAGCTTAGTAATTTTTTTTTTGTCTTTTTATCATTAACGTTTTATGTGTTAAATTCATTAATTAAAT